TTCAAAATTAATAGGAAGAATGAAATAATTAAAATTAGAGAAGAAATCAAACCAAAAAAATATAAAAGATCAGTGAAATGAAGAGCTGTTTTTTTTTTTTAATAAACAAAATTGATACACCTTTGGTCTAACTAACCAAAAAAGAGAGAGAAGAACGAAATCAATAAAATCAGAGGTGAAAAAGGAAATGTAGCAACAGATACCACAGAAATAAAAAGAATCATCAGGAATTAGTACAAACAGCTATATGCCAACAAATTGGAAAATCTGGAAGAAATGGGGAGATTCCTGGACACATACAATCTATCAAAATTGAGTCATGGAGTATTTCAGGCATGGAAAGCCAAGATACTCTGGGGGGGAAAAAAACCTAAATGAAAGATCTCTGTGAGTGAGATCCCAGTGGAAAGAACGGGCCATCAAAGAAGGAGGTACCTTTCTCTGAAGGGAGGAGAGAACTTCCACTTTGACCATGGCCTTGTCTAAATATGATCAGAGTCGGTGAACTCAGGGGGCTTCCATAGCCTTGGCAGCTCATGACAAGAGCATAGGGTGATTACTCAGGCCATAAACAAGAGTGTCAATTTGTTAAGTCAACAACAGGAGTCACTGTGCACTTACTCCTCATGTAGGATCTTTGTCCTTTGTGTGCTGTACATTGAAATTTAATGCTATAACTAGTACTCAAACAGTATTTTTCACTTTATGTTTCTGTGTGGGAGCAAACTGTTGAAATCTTTACTTAATGTATGCTAAACTGATCTTCTGTATATAAAGAGAATTGAAAATGAATCTTGATGTGAATGGAAGGGGAGAGGGAGTGGGAAAGGGGAGTGTTGCGGGTAGGAGGGACGTTATGTGGGGGAAGCCATTGTAATCCATAAGTTGTACTTTGGAAATTTATATTCATTAAATAAAAGTTAAAAAAAAATTGAGTCATGAAGACGTAGAAAACCTAAACAAACTGATAATCCAGACCTCGACTGAATCAGTATTAAAGACGTTCCCAAGAGAGAAATGCCCAAGATGGCTTCACTGCTGAATACTACCAGACATTTAAAGTGTGTGTTTTAATTTCACTTTCCATATATATATATATATATAATATATATATACGTTGCTATTATGTAGCGACACAAATTTAATTTTATGCATTGAAATTGTGTCCTACAATCTCGTTGATTGCACATTAATTCTGTAAGCTTATGATTTTGTAGATTCTTTCAGATATTTTAATAGACACATCTTTCAGAAGCAGGAATGGTTTTCTTCCTTTTCAATCTATACTTTTTTATTTATTTAACTTGCCTCAATTTGTACTTGCTGTAATCTACAGTTGAATGACAACAGGAAGGCTTTTCCTCCTCCCATGTCTCCCAGCCATAAGGAAGAAAGTAATCAGTCATTCATTCATAAGGATAATGACTCCTGTTTGCTTTACTCTTATTTCTTGAATTGTTTTTTCTTTTATTGATTTGAGAAGCTTTCACTGTTAAGGATAATGTCTTCAAGTATGTTTTATTCTTATATCCTGAATTGTTCTTTTCTTTTATGAATTTATTAGAGAAACAAAGAGTGCTCCCATCCATCAGTTCACTCTTCAAATGCTTACAGCTGCCTAAGCCTGGGCTGAACTTGGCTGGGACAAGCTGACGAGAAGCCAGGAACTTAATCCAAGTCTCCAGCGTGGATGACAGGAATATCACCAGTGGACTCATCGCTACCACCTCCACCTCACAGGGTCTGAATTAGCAGGAAACCAGAATCAAAAGCCAGATCTGGGTGCTGAATACAGGCACTCGGATGGAGAACACAGGCGTCCTAGCTACTGGCATAATTTCTGGGTCACATGGCTAGCACTGGAGATTTTCTTATATGTTCTCGATTAAGTTGAGGAATCTCTACTCTTGTTTTTGAATGTTGAGGTTTTTTTCCCTTTAAATAGTGTTTAGGTATATAAAATACATTTTCTGCAACAGTTGATGTGATCATATGTTTTTCCTCCCCTATTTGCCCATGGGTGTTAGCTACTAAATTTCAAACCTTGAAACAGATTGTACACCTATGAAAATTTTCTACAACTTCATCCCAGAATGTATAAGTGTTTTTACTCATGACTGGGATTGTTTTGCTGATACCTTGAGTGAGGAATTTTTGGTACAGGATTTTTCCAATTTTGAATTACAATGATTCTGTACTCATAAAGCAAATTTCTTACCTAACTGTTTTGAATTCCTCACTTTGCATAGGAGTTTTGCCTTTTAGCTCATCCAATTGTATCAGTGTGTGCTTTATGTTCACTCTCCAAATGCCCACAAAGATCGCAGTGGGGCCGGTCTGAAGCTGGATGCTGGCAATTCAAGGGAGATATCCAACGTGGACCTTGGGGTGGAACAACTTGAGTCATGATCAGTGGTTGCCTCCCAAGCTCCTGGGAGCGCAACCAGCACTCAAACCCAGTCACTCTGATACAGGATGTGGAAATTTCAACCTCCCATCTTGACAGGAGAAGCTGACGGCCATTTACTTTAGTATGCCTTTCAAATTATGCAGTGTTTGTATCTAGCTGCTTTTTAACATCTTTTAATTTTATCTGCCCCAGTCCCTGTGTATATATTTAGGATTGCTATATCTTGCTGATTGATGCTTTGTAAAAAGATCTTATTTATTTGAAAAACAGAGTGAGAGAGAGGGAGATGGGGAGGAAGGAAGGAAGGAAGGAAGGAAGGAAGGAAGGAAGGAAGGAAGGAAGGAAGGAAGGAAGATCTTCCAACTGCAGGTTTAATGCCCAAGTGGCTGCAATGAAGCCAGGAGCCTGGAACACCATCTGCGTCTCCCAGGTGGGTGACAGGGACTGCAGTATGTGGGCCATCTTTTGCTTCTTTCTGAGGTCCATTAGCAGGGAACTGGATGGGAAGGGGAGCAGCCAGGACTCCATCCAGCAACCCAACGTAGGATGCAGGCATCACAGGCAGAGGCTTTAACTGCTGCACCGCAATGCCAGCTACTACTCTACTTTTTCTATGCATTGCTTCTGCTCAGTTTCTTAAGTACTTGCACACACTATGTGTCACATGCCATTGCATTTTATTTCATGTTTCAATTTTGGAATAATATTCAGAATCTCATGAAAGAGAAGTGAGTGCATCATTCTTTTTGTTTTTAGCCATTCGGATTTTCTAAAATCCTCATGATACTGAAATTCTCTTACAGTATTGTTTCCTTCGTATTTTGCAATTTGCTTTTGCTATTTATTATGGATCCTGGTGGAAAGAGGACTTTAGTTATCCTTTTTCTGAAAAAAGAAAAAGTCTTTAGTTGTCCTTTATGCTACAAGGATGAATTTGCCAGATATAAAATTCATCTTCCTCCCTCCCTCCCTCCTTTCCTTCGTCCCTTCCCCCCCCCTTCCTTCCTATCTTTTCCTTCCTTCCTTCCTTCCTTCCTTCCTTCCTTCCTTCCTTCCTTCCTTCCTTCCTTCCTTCCTTCTTTCCTTCCTTCTGGCATAATTAGCAGAAAGGGAGGGAGACACACATATACACACACAGTGAAAGAAAAAGAGAAGCAGAAGTCTTCCATCTGTTGCTTCACTCTTTAAATGGCTATAACAGCTGTAACTCTCCATCCTGTCTGCCATATGGGTGGCAGGGCCAAGAACTTGGTCCATTGTCTGCTGCTTTCTCAGGCACATTAGCACAGAGCTGCATCACAAATGGAGCACCAGGATTCTTTTTTTTAAATTTATTTATTTATTTGAAAGTCAGAGTTAACAGAGAGAGAGAGAGAGGCTTTCTAGCCGCTGTTTCACTCCCCAATTGGATGCAATGGCTGGAGCTGTGCCTATCCAAAGCCAGGAGCCAGGAGCTTCTTCTAGATCTCCCATATGGGTGCAGGGGCCCAAGGACTTGGGCCATCTTCTACTGTTTTCCCAGGACATAGCAGAGAGCTGGATGGGAACTGGAGTGGCCAGGACTCGAACTGGTGCCCATATGGGATGCTGGCACTGTGGGCAGCAGCTTTACCCACTACGCTGCAGCTCCGGCCCCTGCCAGGATTCTAACCAGTGCTTATATTATGGTGAATGGATGTACCACTTTTCTTCATTCATTTATCAGCTGATGGACTTATGGAAAACATGAATGGGCCTTCACAATGGAGTTCTTCCACCTCTTCCTAGGAGAATTTTTTTCTTTAAAATATTTATTTATGTATTTAAAAGGAAGAGATACAAAGAAGAGAGAGAGAGAGAGAGAGAGAGAGAGAGAGAGAGAGATATTGATTTTCCACTTGCTGGTTCACTCTCCAAATGGCCATGACTGCTGGGGTTGGGCCATGATGAAGTGAAGAGCTAAGACCTTCCTTGAGGTTTCCCACATGGGTGCAAGGGCCCCAGTAACTGGGACATCTCTCACTGCTTTCCCAGGTGCCTTAGTAGGGAGCTAGATTGGAAGTGGAGTACCTGGGACTCTGACTAGTGCCCAAATCTCTGCCTTTGCACGGAGACCCTGCAGGTCCTGGCTGCACTCGGGGTGCAATGCTCTGTGGTACCCAGCAGGAGGGGGTGGGAGAGGGAGACTGCAGCAAGGAAAGCCTACCCAGGGAAGCTGCAGTGAAGACAGAGCAGCAAGTGTGGGGTCCCCAAAGACAAGCGAGCACCTCGGGTCTCAGTTTACATGGGGCCCAGGAAGCACCACCTGGAGATGGAACAGAGATCCGTGAGCAAGGACCCACCTAGGGCCATCCTTGTAGATACAGCAGATGGCAGGACCATCTGGGGCTCTGGAGATGCCGCGACCCGGTGACACTCCCACTGCATGCTCCACAGCCTGGGAGAGCTGTTGGAGAGGTGCAGGGTCACCATGGCCAAGGGCACCTGGGGCGGGCAGCAGTGGACAAGGCGTTGTTTCCCGCTGGGGCTGCAGCAGCTTCCAGGGCAAAGCTGCTTACTTCCCGGTGAAGGTCTGTGACCGCACCAGAACCACAGACAGCAGCCTGTGCACTTTGAGTCACAGGGTTTATTTGTGTTGCTGAAAGTGAAAGCCTGAAGCCACACCAAAAGGAGAAACAGACATAGTTATTCATCTTGAGTCAGGGTAGTTAGCAGTGAGTTTCTTGGTCATACCCTTTCTCCAGTCTATGGTTTTTGATGTTCTTGCTTAGTGGCTGTGAGGGAAATACAGACATTAGAAATGCTCAATTTTCATCATTAATAAAAGTCGTCCACTGTTAAACTAAAGGTATAGCAGTTGATTGGTACATACACACACACACACACACAGAAACCCACTGCCTATGTTGAATTTTGTGTTTGATTTCTATGAAATTTGTAAAGCATGGTTTCTCTTTCACGAGTAGTTTGAAAAGGAAGCATTATAAATTAACACTCAGGTGTTTCATATACAATGTCTCTAAAATATATGAATAAAAGAAGATTACCCATGGGGCCTCTTTAAAACCTCTTTAAACTCATTTCTTGTCATAAAAAAAGTTGCTTAATAAATCTCAGGTTGATACGAGTTAACATTCAATATGCCCAAATAAATATGAGTGCTTATTTCAGCACAGGAAATGAGTAAATAAGAACTTAGATGAAATGAATAAATAAAAATTGATATTTGGATAATAATTTTGGTGAATTAGGTAGGGCCGATAATCTAAAAGGACTTCATAGATTATATTGTTTTTGTCAGTAATTTGATGCCTTTGGTTTACCTTTTACTCTGTGACTGAAGGCTGCTACTATTACCGTCTTCTGACACTGATCTGTATAAACGAAGAAAGCATTTTACTTTTAAGGATTAGGAAACAAAGCAATCTGGAGCAATAGCAATAAAACTTAGAGAATAAGGGCTGATGCTGTGGCACAGCGGGTTAACATCCTGGCCTGAAGTGCCGGCATCTCATATGGGCGCCGGTTCTAGTCCTGGCTGCTCCACTTCCCATCCAGCTCTCTGCTATAGCCTGGGAAAACAGTAGAAGATGGTCCAAGTCCTTGGGCCCCTGCACCCATATGGGAGATCTAGAAGAAGCTCCTGGCTCCTGGCTTTGGATCGGCACAGCTCTGGCCGTTGCGGCCAATTGGTGACTGAAACAGTGGATGGAAGACCTCTCTCTCTGTGTTTGTGTGTAACTCTGACTTTTAAATAAATAAATAAATCTTAAAAAAAACCTTAGAGAATTAAAAGTTAAATCTGTGCTAATTCATCAATTATGTGTGAAATTAATGTGGGGAAAGATTATTACATCTAACATAATAATTCCCAAATGTTAGAAAGATCCTGTGTATAAACATCTTCAAATTCTCAACTCACCGTGTATCTACTCATAATTTTTCTGCAAAATAACTATTTAGAGATACAATTATTGGGACTAACCACTCACTCTCCTTATTGAGAGCTTTAATGAGGACCACTAAATCTTCCAGTTACATGTGGCCACATTTTATGGTGCTTAGAGAACCTGCACGCTTGTTTTAGAACACCACTGCGGAGGGCCTGCGCCATGGCGCACTAGGTTAATCCTCTGCCTGTGGTGCCAGCATCCCATACAGGCGCCGGGTTCTAGTCCTGGTTGCTCCTCTTCCAGGCCAGCTCTCTGCTGTCACCCAGGAGGGCAGTGGAGGATGGCCCAAGTGCTTGGGCCCTGCACCCACATGGGAGACCAGGAGGAAGCACCTGGCTCCTGGCTTCAGATCAGCTCAGCATGCGGGCCATGGCAGCCATTTGGGGGGTGAACCAACAGAAGGAAGACCTTTCTTTCTGTCTCTCTGTCTCTCTCTCACTGTCTATAACTCTACCTGTCAAAAAAAAAAAAAAAAAAAGAACACCACTGCACACACCACAGTTAGTGTTGGAAGGGGAGGGTCACGGCTTCCTGCTTTCTGTTACACAGCTAGGACGCCTTGACTATAGTTGATAAGAACAGGTTTGAACGCTGTCCTTGGACTGCTAAGTCCGTGCAGGGTCTGAGTTTAGGTGCCCTAGTGCGGCTGTGTACTTTTGTCTCTGGAGACTATGCACTGAGAAGGCAGTGGCTGTGGGCAGGCTGTCAGCGCTTTCCTTGAAAACTCATGCGGAAGTGGTTGGAAGATGTGCGGGACCCAGTGTAAGCAGAGCGGTCGTGGAGGGACCAGACAGAAACAGGATGAGCTGATTCAAGACTAAAGCCTTTGGGGAATGGAGAGAAGGTCTCGGCTTCCGACCACGCTGCTCATGTCCTCCACTCTTCCCTTCAGCTCTGTTTTGTTTCTCGCCCCTGGCTGTGATGCTGCGGGCTCTTGGGATCCAATTTTGTCATTTGTAACCAACGATTCCTTATTATGATATTTCTCTAAAGGTCTAAATTACTCTTGTCGACTAGTTATGCTTTCTGAGATGTCTTAAGAAAGGGCGCCAGGAAGACCTACGCCAGCTGTCATTCAATTAAGTCAATCAACACTAATTTGATTATGCAAATATCATTATATAGAATCCAGACTACTACTCTGAATTTAAATATAGATTGCTAGCCTTTTGATGTCTTCACTGATTTCATAAATAGAGGTGTTAATGGAAATTTTAATCATGCTTTCGCCTCCATCAGCATTCCTGAGAAACAGCCATTTTAATTTTGCACAGAATGAGATCCACTTATTTATTCTCTTTTCTCTGTTAATACTTCCGTAAATATGCACCGAGCAAATTGTGATTGGCATGGTCGTTATGGTAAGTAAAAATAAAAACCTGTGCAATAGCTTAATTATAAACACATGAACAATATTACTTCTGAGCAAAGTTTAGAATATCCTGTATTTTCTCCCTCATTCTGTGACAGCTCCTATTTTTTAATCACAGCATTTGCTTCCCTGACTGTGTCTGTTCGCCTCCCGAGCACAGGTGGGTGTCAGGGCAGTGGCAGTGGTGCTGCCTGGGAAGTCAACAGAACCTCCTAAAACAATTTCAGCCAATGTGGCTGCTCCTGCAAAGGCCCCAAGGACTTCCTGAGCCGCCACAATTGCTCCTGTGAACATGAGGGATACCCAAGTGCCTGAAGTCTGGGACTTTCTTATTCAGTTCTTCTAAAAATTCACCCTATTCTTCTGAGGATCCTACCTGTAATATTCTAAATGACATTCTTACCATAATTCATTTTAAAACTCAACTTAAAAATAATATGTTTACCTACCCTCTACTCAAAGTTTCTTCTCTGCGCCAGAATCTCTTCCTTCTATTCCAGTTTAGAGCAATGACAGCAATCACAACAACGAGTGGCAGATAAATGTAGAAACTAATCAAAAGGCCATTTTTCTTAGGTGCACCCTGATAGGATTCAGGGAAGTATAAGCTTTTACCTGAGAAAATGAATGCATGGGTAAACTTTTGGAAAAATTATATTCAATTTATACAAATAATTTGAATCATGAAAATTTGGATTTCAAATAATACAGCTGAATATTCAATTTTAATTTACATGTCTTCCCAACCTTCTATGAGAGTAGCCCAAAGTATATTATCTGTTTTGTCAATTAAATGCACTTACACATATCATGACAATAGCTACTGTTAACAATATATAAGTCACATAAGGTTATTTATAATCTCTTTATGCATATTTAGTCTGTACTTCTTTAATATTATCATGTTATTATATTCTCTCAAATTCCCTTACATGCACTACTGTTTAGAACACATTATATAAAATTATCTAAAACTAGGTTTTTAACTTTAAAAAACCTGGAGAAATATTAAAAAGAAGTAAATAAAGAGCTACAAAAGGAAAATAAAAATGAATAACAGTGGTGTTTGGGATCTCTGGGATGCCATCAAATTAACCAACATTTGAGTTTTGGGAATTTCTGATGGAATGCAAAATAAGAATAGTTTAGAAAGTTTATTCCATTAAATAGTAGCAGACAACTTTTCCAATTTGGGGAAAGATTCAGAGATACATATATACAAATTCCTAACAGGGATATGATCAGAAAAGAAGCTCACCATGACACATTATATTCACACTTTTGAAAATAAAATATTTAGAGAGTATCTTAAAAGTTAGGAGAAAAGCATCAGCTCATTTTTAAGAGAACTCCCGTTAGATTGACAGCAGATTTTTCAGCACAGACCTATATAGGCCATGAAAGAATAAAGATATACAGTCCATGTTCTAAAAGATAAAAACTACCAACCCAGAGTACTTTACCCAGTGAAGCGTTCACTCATAAATGAAAATGAAATACAGCTCAACAGAAGCAACAATAGAAAGAATTTATTACCATCCTGCCAGCCTTAAACATGATACTTAAAGACGTATTACATGCAGAAACAGAGAAAAACAACCAGCATCTGTGTCATAAGAATATGAAAGTAGGAAACCCAATAGCAAAAGAAAAAAGGGTGTTCAAAATAAGCAATATAAATTTGTATGGCAAAATGGCAGGACCAAGTCACTACTTTATTAATAATACCCTTGAGTGGAAATGAGCTTAACTCTCCAGTTTAAAAATGCAGACTGGCTGAATGGATTAAAAGAAATAAGACCTAAGTGTATGCTTCACACAGGAAACACTTCACTAGGACACAGACAAACACACACACACACACACACACAGAGGTACTGAAAGTGGAAGGATGGAAAACATTCCATGCAGATGGCAACCAAAAGTGAACAGGAGTAGCTATACCTATATCAGAAAAAATAAAAATACAAAAACTTATCTTAAAGCAAAAACTCTTAAAAGAGGCAAAGAAGGTCAATATGTAATGAGTAGGAAGAGATGCGTTCAGCCTGAAGACAAGACTATTTTACATGCACCTAGCTGAATTCCACAGCACCCAGATTTAGGAAACGAATGTTAATGGAGCGAAAGGGAGGCAGAAACTGTAAGTCCAGGTCACTTTACCATTCCATGTTCATCAATGGACAGGTCAGCCAGGCCAAAATCTACAAAGTAAGAGCTAATCTATACTGTACACAAAATGGACCTAGTAAATATCTACAGAACATTCAGTCCCGCAGGTGCAGAATATACATTCTTTCTATCAGCAATGGAGCATTCTCTAGCACAAACCATTCAATAGGCATAAAGCATCTTAAAATTTTTCTAAAAAATATAATCATATCATGTATGTTTTCTCAGCCCAACACAATAAAGCTGGAAATAAACAACAAAACAAACTCTACAAGTTATGTAAATGCATGGTGACCAGACAGCAAACCTCTGAATGAACGGTGGATCATTGGGAAAACAAAAAGATTAATAACCAGAATATATAAAGAAATCAAGAAACTACAATAACAAAACAAACAGCCCAGTTAAGAAATGGGACAAGGACTTAAACAGACATTTTTCAAAACAAGAAATCCAAATGGCCAACAGACACATGAAAAAATGCCCAGGATCAATAGCAGTCAAGGAAATGCAAATAAAAACCACGGTGAGGTTTCACTTCACCCTAATTAGAATGGCTTTCATACAGAAATCAACAAACAACAAATGCTGAGGAGGATGTGGGGAAAAAGGTACCCTTATCCACTGTGGTGGGAATGCACACTGGTTAAACCACTGTGGAAATCAGTTTGAAAGACATCTCAGAAAACTGAATATAGACCTACCATAGGACCTAGCCATCCCACTCCTGGGAATTTACCCAAGGGTAATGAAATCAGCAAATAAAGAGTTATCTGGAACCCCATGTTTACTACAGCTCAATTCATAATAGCTAAGACATGGAATCAACCCAAATGCCCATCAACTGAAGACTAGATAAAGAAATTAAAAAAATAAAATCCGGTCATTTGCAACAAAATGGATGAATCTGGAAAACATCATATTCAGTGAAATAAGCCAGTCCCAAAGGGACAAATACCATATGTTCTCCCTGATCTGTGACAACTAACAGAATACCTAAAAGGAAACCTGTATAAGTGAAATTGACACTTTGAGAAGCCATGACTTGAACAGCTGTTGTCTTGACTGCCTGCCAAGGAACAGTTTTTTGTTTTTTGTTTTTTGTTTTTTTTTTTTGTTTGTTTGTTTTTGTTTGTTTTTCTTAATGGAGAATGGGACAGGGAATGGGAGGAGGAGGAGGTAGGGTGGGAGTTGGGGTGGGAGGGGGGATACGATGGCAAGAATCAGTATATTCCCAATGTTGTACTTATGAAATTTGTACTCATTAAATAAATCATTTCTCCAGGAATAAAATTAAATAAAATTAAATTAAATTAAATTAAAAAATAAAGCCAATAAATAACAAATACTAGTACATGGTGGAGAAAGGGTTCCTTAATACACTGTTGCTGGAAATGCAAATTAGCACTATTATGGAAAACAGAACACAAATTCCTCAAAAAACTAAAAATAGAACTATCATAGCATCCAGCTACATCACCTCTAGGAATATATTCAAAGAAAATGAAGTCAAGAAAACATGGCAAATTAATTTTTAGCAAAAGTGTAAAAAAATTAAATAGGCAGTGAATAACTCTTTCAATGTTGTGTTAGAATATTCAAATACTCATGAATCAAAAATTCAACTTTGGACTTGTGGCACCACTGTCATATATTCTTGTCATGGCTGACTCCTATATTAGTGGGCCTGAGATTGAATCCTGGTTCTGCTATAGACTTGGTTCCTACTAGTGTGCACCCTGGCAGGCAGCTGGGGATGGCCTAAGGACTTCGAATCTTTGGCACCAATGTGTGAATTTCAGAGGAAGTTCTTGGCTCCCAGCTTCAGCTAGGTACAGCCCTGGCTGTTGTGTGCATTTGGGTAGTGAGCAGTGGTAAAAATATTCTCTCCCTCTTTCTTTCTCCCTCCTATCTTTTAAATAAAAATAAATAAATAAAATGTGAAAAAAAAACTTTTATCATAAGATTCTGCTACTCCTTACAAAAATTAACCCAAAATGTGTTATAACCTTAAATGGAAAACGTAAAGTTATCCCTTTTAGTATAACAGCAGAAAATCTTCAGCTCCTAGGAGTGATAGAGTCCATATAATTGACAGCAAAATCGCTAACCAAAAAGGAAAAAAAAATAGATTCTTCAAAATCATAAAAAAAAATCTTGGTATGAGAAGAAAACAAATTACTGATTCATGAAATCACATGAAGAAGAGCAATTTAGCGGTTGCCAGGAGTTAGGAAAGAAGGAAGAGAGGATGGATATATTTACAAAGGGAATAACAGCAGGGATCCAAGGAGTGATGGCACAGTTCTATATCACAATTGTGGGCATTCCAAGAATCTGAACACCCCAAAACTGCATAGAACTCATACACCTATATGCACATAGATCCTGGTGAAATCTGATTTGGATCTGTGTATTTTTCCAGTCCCAATTTCCCAGTTGGATATTGTAGAACAGACTTATAACATGTTGCCACTGATGGATGCTGGGTGGAGGTAACAGGGTATTTCCCTCAGGAGGACTTTGTAACACTTTGTAAATCTAATTACTCTGATATAAAATATTAATTTAAAGCCAGTAGGCTATAAACAGAACTCCAAAACTTGGCAATAAAGATCAGGCAAGACAAAACAAAAACTAGATAATATTGTATGGTGGTAAAAGTGTGGATTGGTTGTGCAGTGAAACTGTCATAATGGAAAGACAGTTTGGAAAAATTTTTAGCTTTTACCTGTAAAATTAAAAATCCATTTATGATGTAGCCCAGCAATCTATTTGTGACTTAGCCACGAAATAACCCCAAAAAAACTTATTTATACACAAAAGCCTGTGTACCTGTTTACAGTAGATTTTTTTTTTTTTCACAATTTCCTGTCGCTCCCCCTCTTCATGGAGGAACGACACAGGACCCTGCGCTGTTCTTTTGTCTGCTCGGCCCTCCCCGGGTTTGCTGCTGGTTCTTCCCGGTTGGCTACTGACCCTTCCACCTCCGTGGAAGGGCGGTTCCCCCTGCCACATTCCCCACTTCCGCAGGGGAGCAGCACACCGCCGGCCGGCTCTCTTGGGGGCTGCACAGGTGTTCCTTCAGATAGATGTTCCTGGTGCATGTTGTCTCTCTCCTCCTTTATAGTCCTCTTCCACCAATCCCAACTCTGCTACCCACACGCCGAGTACACTGCTCTCCTCCAATCAGGAGCAGGTCCTGCTGTTTATTGGTTGAACTGGAGGCAGCTGTGTAGAAGCTGTTTCCTCCTCTCCCAGCACCGTATTGTGGGAGAGCAGATGCATAGAATAAGTCTTAATTCGAGTAACAGTCTAGTCTGAGTTGCTCCCCACAATTACCAAATCCTGGAAACGGTTCAAATATCTGTCAATAGATGACTGGATAAGCAAACTATAGGTCTTTTCAATGGAAGGCTTTCAGCATCAAATAAAGTTCAAGG